AGGTTGTAGAATGGCTTCAAAGCACACCCATTTCAATGTTTGAGTTAGTAGTTAATCTAGTCTTTATCATAGTATATTTAAAAGTTACAACCTATATACATTTTGTTTCACATATTCATTTAAGTATATTACAAAATTATAATAATGAACTTAACTAAAATAATAATTAAAATTATAATATTTACGATTAAAACTAATTATATACAATATAAAAGAAGAAACTATAATACAGAAAATCTAAAACTAAGAATTTAAATAGTCAAAAAGACCTGCTCCCCGTGGTATAGTGCCAAGAACGCTAGATGCTTTTCCTCGCTGAATAGCTATACTTAGCCTTTGAGCAAGGAAAGAACCAGCCCTCTTATCACCAGCAGCGACGACCAGTCGTGGATACAGTTCCTTTAGAAACTTCACTGCACTCGGACTCCACGGACTGATAATCTCTACAACAAATGGCACAAATATGTAGTCAACCTAGAAATCTCTCAGACTCATATTTGCGCCATTTACTAAATTCGGCTGCCTCTGATGCCACCCCAGCTCTAAAAGAGGTACCCTTGAGATGAGAGGCCGCCAAAGTGTCAACTCAAGTAGCAACCCACACTTTTTCCAAGTCATACCGTCGGGTCTCCTGCCATCGTCTCTAAATATCCTGCAAGGCTCTAAAACCGAGAGAACATTTATAGAGACAAGAGCCCTTCGGATGATTTCGTGATGGGAAAACCTACCTGCACTTTTCTTGCATGAAAGTCCAAGGAGCACAAACTCATCGACGCTACTACCACAGGGGCACTGGTGAGGTTGACAAATTGCCACTCCTAGCTGGATTCCTACGACGATGCGCAAGCTTTCCCCATCAAGCAATGTGCTGAGATTACTTGATGGTAGAACATGTAAACAGTGGCTAGATTCCTTAGTTGAAACAGCTAGAAGGCGAGCCTGATCTTGTTGAATGTAGAAATTTTGAAATAAATTTTTCTGGACACTCCATACCAATGGAATATCCCACTGTTTTTGTTGGTTAACTTACAGTGGGACATTTTTGTCATGCCATTTAGTCATGTTTGCCTTGCCTCCGCAGCAAAGCACAGGTCTATATAATAATAATAAACCTTTATTTCCGAACTTTGACAGTTTTTTCATTTACAAACATAAATTTTACTTAAATAAATAGATTAACAGCTGGTTAAAAACGTAATACACAACATATTATAAAAGATCTCTCAGTTCGGTGTGCCTTACGGCAAAGGCCTCCTCCAACTCTTTCCACTGATGTCCTGTCTGCCGCCACTCTTGTCCAGAGCGGACCCAAAGTCATTTTCAGGTCATCCTCCCATCTTCTCTTTTTGCGACCATCGACTCCTAATGCCATCTCTTGGGTACCATATTGTCACCTGTTTGCTCCATTTCTCCTTTTTACACCTGAGCATATGTCCAGTCCACCTCCATTTAAGTTGGTCAATATGAGCCAGGATATCAGTTAGTTTTGTTTTGTGCCTGATGTCTGTACTTCTTACTTTGTCTTTTAGTTTTAAACCTATCATGCTTCTTTCCATACTTCTTTGACATCTTGCAAGTTTATCCCTATGGTGTTTTGTCAGAGCCCAGGTTTTAGCAGCCATATGTAATGCAGGGTAAAATACATGTATCAAAGGTCTTCTTCTTGATTTTAATGCCTATTTCTTTGCTTTTTGTAATTTCTTTCAAAGCCCAGTAGGTTTTCCATCCTGTCCTGCAATCCTTTTTTCTATTTCTTTCGACATCTGGTCGTTAAAGCACAGGTCTACTTTATTATTTAAAATTGTGTTACATAGATCATTGACACTATACACGGAAGCAAGGTAAAGCAGGCAATGCACAAACTCAAACATAATATTTCGGGGGTATTGTTAGCCACTTCTTTCAGCAGGGTTATCCTATCAATAGAGTTAAAAGCATTTCTAAGATCAACCTTCAGAAGAACATCTGCATTGGAATTAGCTAAGAAAGTACGCACCGAATGTACAGTCGCCTCACAGCCATCTTTTGTGCCAAAGCCTAGTTGAGTAGGTTGAAATTTTGTCTTAAGGTTTGAGATTATGTGCCTGCAAGCTAATTTTGAAGTTAAGCGTCGAAATGTAGAACCAACAGCAAAAGGACGGATACCGTTAACCTTTTTTTTGAAGGCACACAATCTTGCCCCATATAAGTAGGGAATGAAATTGGGATTGACATTACCAGAAAGCATAAAATTACATAATTTTGTAATGTCATTAAGGAGTATCCTACCGGCGTCACCGGCAGATATGCTTACAAGATCTTTGAGATGCTGAGGCGTAATCCCATCAATGCCGCCGGCAGAGCCATTCAAAAATGACAATATTATGTCTAAAGTGTCTTTTTCAGAAATTTGTAATGGTTGCATAGAAGTATTGGGAGGCAGCGGTAAATTCTGGGAAGGATTGACCAAAGGATGTTTCTGACGAAGGCCTTCAAGAGTTTCGACATTACGGCTGTCATCTGAGAATAGAATACGAGATGCATTTTTTAAGTCGTCGTCCATTACTTTCGATTCAGCTACTTTTTTTAAATCAAATTTTAGACGTAATTGATTTATTTATTGTTTTATTAAAATGAAAATGGGAATACACAAATGTAAATAATTTTTGCCAACTCTTTTCACAATTTGTTAGACAATTTTAAATAGTGAATGATAATGCTTTAGCAAGTTGCATCCTTGCACCTCTGGGAATTCTTTTAACCACTGGTATGTTACTGTACAAATTGTATAATTGTTCTGAAAAAAGTGAAGAATTTGTGTCATTAGGTATATTACCAGAAGAGTCACGAATTTCTATGGTAGGCTGTGAAGCCGAAATACTTTTATTACTATGGCATAGTTTAATGTGTATATTTAATCCCTTTTTACCTTTAAACAGCCTATCGGTACAATTTTGACACCGTAGGAAATCCGGCTGTAAATGTATCGGAGCGATAATATTCATAGAAAAAGTAAAAATGTAAAAATATATATACAGCACTCAAAAGTCTATAATTTAGTATAAATCAAAATCTTGAAAATTAAAAGAAAAAACCTAGTTCTCGAGCTTTGTTTATCACCTTAAAGCAATCTAATATTAATATTGTGTACGATGAATCACCAGGCGTTAGGCGGCTTACAGTTGATGGTTTCAAAGCTTCTTTTGGTGACAATCTCAATAAAATGCTCAAGCGTCTCAATAAAAACATGGCATTCATTGTTTTCTTGGGACCAGAAGAGGTGTAGTGAGCATTGATTTTGTTATTTTGACGTTCTATTTTCTCATTTAATATTTCTTTAAAGTTCTCCCTGGCAATATTGTTGCAAAATAAAATATATTATTGGTGTATTCGGCCATCGTTATTTTGTGTCATCACTTCAGGCAAACGAACTTGTAAATATATTATCACATATTCATTAATATTGAAATATATTATTTACACAAAACATTATATTTCGGAATCTCAGGAATAAAATATAGATATATTTTAATTAAAATATTTGGTTAAAATATAAGACAGTTGTCACCTGTCACTTTTCTTTAATCTATTTAGGGCAGGGCCTTGCTTGGCTTGCCCTTATGTAGACGTCGTTGCAGCTAAGGGCCCACCAATCAACACACAAAAAACACACGTCGTATTTTTTACACGCCGTCGACACGACACGTATTTTCAAAGTCTGCCAGTAATTAGAGTTGCATGCAAAAATATTAGTTTTTAAATATTTGTGATTAGTATTCACCAAATACGAATATTTGGTAAATGTCTACTATTTGGCGAATACGAATATTCGTATTTGTTGCATCACTAATGATAAGCGTTCATTATGTGGACAGAAAAGAATAATAAGCCAAGACTCAAAAACCTATAGGAAAAGAGTGGATAAAATGCTGATTAATAAACTGGCAATCTATCCCTTACTACTTCCGTCGTGCCTGGTAGAGATGGCCAATCGCAATTAGGAAAAAAAGTAAATCATGAGACTGATTATGTCGAAGTTAAATAATTTTATGTGATATTCTAAGAGTTTAATGTCAAAATTTTAGTTAAAAGATGATTTTGGTTAATTAATCTTACAAAGATTAGAATGTTTTAATTTTAGTGGCTTCTTAAAAAACTATGGCCAAATCTACCAGAGTTATCCTAATATATTTATATATTATTATATTTGGTTTGGTATAAATGAATAAATTGTATGAATTTTATGAATACCATACTCCATCTATGTAATATTTATAAAGCCTATAGAAACATGAAATCAATAATTTCATAAAATGCAATAATATATATTTTTGTATTTATTTACTTCAATCAATATTCACCTTATATAACTAGCTTTATTTGAATATCAACAAAACGATAACAGCGCCACCAAGCTTAGCGCGTGACTTGAAACTAAACGCGGCCATCTTGTGCTTCTTGACCGCTGTCATTTTTCTGTCATTGCGACAATTAGATTTCAATAACAATAAACAAACAAGATCGCATTACACTCTTATTGTACACATTTCCGAGAAGCATTAGCCAAATTCAGTGGATTACAACAGAACAATACAGGTTATTGTATCAATTACGGTTACTCAGTATGCAGGCTAAAAATAACTTGGCACGTGCCAAATTTGCTTACATATATTCCGGGAAAAATTAGCAACAAAATTAACTATCTGTGAAGATTATTTCTACTAATTAATCATGTATTATAAAAATGTATTAAGATGAATGTGAAATAAAGACAAACTAATGTGAACGAACAATGTGGCGCATTGGCGCCATTTTCCTTTCACATTATCGAGCTCCTAGATGACGTAACAGGTCTTCTGTATGTCCTACTTTGTCCCCATGTGCATACTAAACAAATTAAAGCTGGTTTTTTTAAAGGTTTACAACGCTAAACGCGTTGTTTTCTTTTAAATGTCACCTTGACGTATGTCAATATGACAAGCATGGCGGAAACGTGGCGTCGTTAGGCCGGCTAAGCTTACCTCCAGGCGACATGGACTGTCGGTTAGTAACACGAGCGTCCCTGATAATGTCCCTTGTAATTTCTCGAACGTCGCGTCTTTGCTGATATGCCATGTCTGGCCGGTCGCGTTGATCCTGTGCTATACCGGCCGTAGGTGGTAGCATCGTTACTTAATCCATTCGAACACTGTTTTCCACTCGGTCACTGATGAAACACGTAAACAGTTCACACAATATCCGTCAGTTTATTTCTTGTATGTAAACAACAATTTAAATGAAAATAACTTAGGGCGAACTACGCACAGCAAACCGAACTGGAGCGCGACTGTCTTACAGCGCCGTGTTTGGGGGGACGGCGGGAAGGAAGCTACATCGCGCCGCCGCGCTTTTGTCCTTATCTTTCATTACGATAAGACGTATAGCTTTTTCACTCTCATGGTAACGCTATGACAGAATGGAAGTGTATGTCAAAACAAAGCGTGGGCTGCGACCGCTTAATGTATTCAAATGTCAAAAAGCCAACCGTTTACAAAATAACAATATAGGTAAGTACTTACCTACATGCGCCATCTGTTATGAATTTCTTTTACTATTAAGCAAGCAAACACTGACCTCTATATTTATATAGAAATACGTAAGCAAATAATTTATATTTTAAACTGTATAATTTTAATTAAGGAGCTCAATAATAATTTATAGATATTTACTTTACTGAATACAATGAATTCTTCAATAAATAAACTTTTCATATCTAAAAATTCGAATTCAGTACAAATTTATTTCCGTCATATACAATTTCCTACATATATTGTTAAGTTAAAGATTAGGTTTGGGTTAGGTATACCAATGAATAACTACGAAATCAAACGAATCAAAGAAAATAAGTCCAGGTAATGCTGGGGCCACACTAACGTGAAATGACGTTAATTATCGCATTGATGGACGTTGAATGTAGGTGTGGCCACGACGCGTTAATTTGACAACGGTATTAACAATGCCGTTTGCTATTTGGCGATAACACGAGTGGCGTGGCGGTACATCAAAGAGATTAACGTACGAAATAACGCGTTGAAACGGCCACACTACCTTTGTTACTTTTTTTCATTGTGCAATGTGCACGATGAGTACAACGGGGTCACGCGTATGGCTATGATTGAGCGGAATAATAAAAAAGTTAAGTATTACGTTTCTTAAGATTCTGCAAACAAAGCCATGTTTGTGGGATCCGAGAATCAATAATTTTAAGAATCGTACATCGCAAAATGATGCTTTGAGGCGAATTATGCAATTATTACCTTTTAAAATAGCCATCGAAGAATTAAAAAGAAGAAGGAAACTCTTATGGGTTTTTATAGAACCCATTTAAACAAATATAAAAAGTCTTCAAGGAACATTAACGCCAACTTTGACGCCGTTCAATGACATTGAAATTGAAATGACGTTGACCGTTCAAGTGTAGCCACTCACCTTCGCGTTAAATTTAAAGCAATAGTTGTTGCGTATAATAAATGCCCATAAGCATTGACGTTTCCCGTTAATGTAGTCCCAGCATAAGAAATCACATGATGGTAAGTGGTTGCTGTGGCCCTTAGACATCTACATCTATCCTCGATTACGAATCAAAATGCAGATGCGTTGTCACCCGTGAGGACTAAGATGGAATGTCTCGTTTCCACTAAAAAGGGTACCCGGTTCTTTCACTCACCATACGAAACACAGCATCATTAAGCTACTATTTTACGCTGGTATTCTGTGAGAGCGTGGTCCTTCCTTGATCGAGCCGACCCATTCGTGCTAGAATTATACTTCTAATATAACTGCAGCATGGCTCTACCAAGTAAAAAGTTTTTGAAAATACGAGTAGGTAATATATAATATAATAAGCCGGGGTGAAAACAATAACTTCCCTATTTTTGAAAATCATTGATTTTCATAGCGGGAAGGAAGAAAAAAATTAATACTTGGTACTTAGGTATACTAGTCGTTGTAGCTCAGATGGTTAGCGCTCGCTGTAAATATCACAGTATGCGAGTAAACCGGGTTCGATCCCCGGCGGCACCAATGAAATTGTTAATTGCAATTTTAAGTGCTGATTTACCACGTGCTCGGCGGTGAAGGAAAACATCGTGAGGAAACCTGCATGTCTGAGAAATAAGAAAAAAATATATATTTCGAAGACATGTGAAGTTCGCCAAGCACAACAAGCTTATGCTTTCTTTTTTAAAGAGAATAGGTAAAATATTTTATAGAATTTATATAAACAGTACTTTTGTAAATGTCTGTTTAAGAAATAAGTTGATAAGTCCGGAATGATCTGACCTAATGATGATCTCGTCATTAAAATTAAGCATATATGAGATTGGCAGATGGCTCAGGATTGTGAGTGGACTGGTGATGCGCTGTTGTGAGTGACTGAGTGAAATGAGATTTGTTGTTTGTTAAGCAAAACATGTAACATATATAAGGAGTTTAGGAACATTAATAAACATGTTTGTTACCTTTACGGACGGATTTATTTTGCTTGCATGAAATTAATAAACTTATATTTGATATAAAATTAATTAAAACTTAAATGAAATTCAGAAATATAACACAAATTAAATAAATCACATGGTTGAATCCTGCTTGATATATTCGATCAGTCTTTCGTAAACAACTTGCGGCGCCTTCTTAGAGAACAAGAAGTCCATATTGGTGAATTGTTCATCGGCTACCATGTAGTGGTCTTTCGCGTTGGGGAGTTCCTTGTGCAGCCTCTCGACGTCCTCAGGGTGTGACAGCCAATCCATCTTCGAAGAGTACAATACGACTGGTACTTTAACATTCGACATGTTGAACTTCGGTGGCTGTACTGTTCCGTAGACCTTCTGGTTGATTACTGGTCCGTAGTCGAACTTCCTGAATTCATGAGATGCGACAGCCTGTCCATATTGTCGCATCTGTCGTGTAGATCCGCCTGTTGGATGGTGGCCCATGATGACAGGAATGAGGTCAATGTCCACATCACCAATGCTGGACATTACAAAGTAAACGTTGGAACACACGTTCTTACAGCCGATTTCGCTCTCACACATGTCTCCACCTAACGACTGAATCAGTTCCTTGGGTGGTTTGAATTCGCCCCATCCTAACTGGTCTTCTAAACGTTCATAGAAGGGACTGTTAGGAGCAATCATACGCAGAAGTGGACTTCGGACCTTTGTCATATATACCATAGGGGAGATGGCATGTACTGTGGCAATTTTTTCGTTGTATTCTGGTCGTGAAGCCAAGAGAGCGAAAACGTTGGTTGCTCCTTGGGAAAAGCCTACGTAGTGAAGTTTCTCTTGTTCGGAGATTTTAAGGGCGTAGTCGATCATGGCTGGAATGTCGTGGAGAGCGACTTCGTCGTTGCTGTACAGCCAGAAGTCCGGTTGCGCTTCGTGCTTGCTAACGTGACGCCTGGCGTATTTGTTTCCACGGGTGTTACCGAGCCAGACCTCGTATCCTTCGTCAGAGAGCATATAAGCAAGGGATTTTTTCGGACCCATCAATAGCCAGTCATCAGAACTTCCAAGTAGACCGTGAGCGAGAAATACTACTGACTTATCTTTTTTGTCCTGTACATACTCATACTGCTTCGGTAAGATACGGAATATGTTGAGGAAATAGCCATCGTCGGTCTTGACCGTATGTTCTTCAACCTGGTATTGGTGCTTCTTGAGCAATTGAGATGAGTTCAAGTGAACGTCCTCGTTTTCAATTTTGCTGGCGGCCTGGTAAGCATCGTGGAAAGCCTTCTTTTCCTCCTCGCTGAAGTGCTTCATGGTATTATAGGCTTCATTGAAGATTTTTTCTATGTCCTTTTGGTCACTAACGGGCGAGTTAGGCCCAGTAGCAAATTGTAAGCCTTTCCAGGTAATAACGTCTCCATACGTCGGCCTTGCATTATCCTGGCTTATGATTGCAGAGAACACAGGCGTGTTCCAATTCTTCACAGTCTGTATGGTGGCGTAGTCGTTGTTCTGGTCTTCAAATGGCTTCTCCTTGCTTTCGGAGCTTCCGCTGGAACTGTGGTGGTGTTGGTGCTTGTGGTTGTGGTAGATCTCTTGGTATGTTTTCTCGCCTCGTGTGGTCTGCTGTTGGTCGTTGTAGTCCAGCGGTTGGACCATTAATCGGTCCATTTTAGGATAGTACTCATGTCGGAAGATGCTGCCCGCGATGTCGCGGGTAAGAGCAAGACAGAGCAGCAATGCAATAGCCTTCATGGTGCTAGCTAATGCAAATAGTGGCGATTGTGGGTCCGACGGTCGTTTTTATACGAAAAGTTGTGCAGACTCAGCAACCAACTGCACGGGAGCTCGGTGTGAATGAATGCAGCGTAAGCGGGCCGTGTTCGATTTTGTTGAAAGCGATTTTTATAAATGAAACTACGTGATTTTAATGTACCTATATTGATGTATAATGACTTATATGATTACTTAAAACTCTGCTTTTTAATAATATATGTGCTTAAATGATTGATATTAATTTTTAATTGAAAGCTTTGTCCAGATTTTATAGATGTATACAAAAGAGACCTGTAGTTGCAGCTTAAGGGACACTACTCTATTTCATCCCGTAGGTGTCGTAAGAGGCGTCAGAAGGAAACAAGAGATTCAGCAAGAGATGGGCATTAGTGTCTTCTTGATAATTGCTTAATAATAATAGAAATACTGTAGTTAGAGGCAAATATCTTCCTGTGAGGTCAATCTATGGGATAGGCCACTCAGCAGTGGGTTTGATGGGTAATGACGAGTGACGATACTAAAGTATATTTTTCTTGATATTAACGCATGAGGTATGATTGTTCTCCATCTATCTATCTATATATGATTTTTACTGTATCATAAGTCAAAAGTTTAAATTTGTATTGTTTTGAAGTTGGAAACATCCGGGGAACTACGAGGTTTTGTATTTTTTATTCAATTAGGGTGACAAACGAGCACACAGGCCACCTGATTGTAAGTGGATGCTGTGGCCCATAGAAAACTACATTTATCTTCGATTAAGAATCAAAATGCAGAAGCGTTTTCACCCCTAACGACTACGATGGAATGCCTCGTTTCCAGTAAAAAGGGTATCCGGTTCTCATA